CCCCCTCCCAGCTTCTCCTCACCTCCCACTCGGTGTCTCACTCGGTGTGCACTTCCTGTCAGTCCGGCCGGGTCGCGGACCGGATAGGAGCTCGGCCACGCTACAGCAGGGCAGGGGAGGTGAGGCACTGCGGCAGCCGCCTGGGTGCTCTCTATAGAGCGCTCAGGCGGCTGCAGAATTTAAAGGGCCGGCGATGGGGGCGCAGGGCGCCCCCTCCTATATGGCGCCCTAGGCGGCTGCCTAGTTCGCCTTATAGGAAGCGCCGGCCCTGCATATATTGAAAAAGCTGTGCCTTTTTTTTTTTAGTTAACACAATTTTCATAGATTTGTTGCTTATTATTTAATGGGCAGATCACGTTTTCAAATCCCATATTACAAACGGTGACACCGTATAAGACAACATAGTTGTATTCCCAGGTTTACACAACACTGCAGACTTATTTACTACAGTGAGAATTCAAAGTGAATTTCAAATATTAGGTGAAAATAATCAAACTTGAAGCATAGCTGACAGAGTATTTTTCCAATTCAACTATTTCGGCCTTTTTTTAAATTCACTTTGAATTCTCTCTTTAGTATAACTTTACTGGGAGTAATGTTTTCTCAAATTATTAATATGGTAAGCAAGGTGCTGGGGTACCTGTAACACTGGGGGAGATTTATCAAAGTATTTTCGCCATTTCTCTGTCTAACTTTTGGCAAATTATTAATTCTGTCGGATTTCTAAATCTGTTGGTTTTTTTTGTTTTTTTTGCACCCCTAATCGTTTTTGAATATGTGCACTTTTCTTACCAGCGCAATGGATTTATGAATTTCTCTGTCTCTTTTTCCCTCAAAAAAAGTAGTGGAAGTTACTGCCAATATAACTGAAGCGTATTTCAGAAATGTAAATTTTTCCCAAAACTGGCAGAATTTACTATAAAGAAAACTGTCATTTTTTTTAGATCACTTTTACAACCCTCCTTAATTTATCACCAAAGGGAAAGGGGCACAACAAGGAATGAGAGGTTCTACATACACAGATGCTGCGGCTTAATGTATATGGGATATAAAGCTCACACTGTGTGCACTATTCTAAAAATGCAGCATTTTAGCAACCAGTATTACATTATTGAATTTCAAAATTGTCTGACTCCCTTTGAAAGAAAAAAAAAACCCTAAACACAGGCATCTTAACAAGGCATACAATAGTAATGAAGGCAGCACAAATGAAAACAGTGATTTCACCTGGAATGTTTTCAAACAGCTGTGCGATCAAAGAGCAATAATTCTATGACAATCAATACCACTGGGAGCTGAAAAAGAACACTGAAACTCATCCATCTATGTCCCAAGCAAAATAATTTGTAGTGATGCAGGGAAGGCAAAATCGAAGCCTGGGTAATGTTATACAAACTTCTTACTGAAAAACGCAGGAAATAGTAATTTGCTTCTTTCTGATTTATAATCTTCTGTGTCTCTGTTGTTGTGTGCATGAAAAAACAGATTTTTAAGGCACCAACAAATTGTATGCTAGTAAAAAAAAATGTAAAAATGATTTATTTTTATTTTTTTCCATTTTTTTTTGGTTGATTAAATGTTCTCTGTAACTTGGAAAAGTGTAATAAAAATGTAAACATAGAAAAAAAAAGAATTGTTAAAAAAAAAAAGGAAAACAAAGTGGGATAAACTCAAATTAAACTGATGGATTTAAATGATATTGTGGCTGCACTTTGAGCAAAATAAAATATCCATCACGAATTGTAAAGTGTTTTTTAATGGTCTTGAAAGAATGTGGAAAGGAATAAGAAATGAAAAATATATAAAATATAATTTTGTTATATATATATATATATTTATATATATATATATATATATATATATATATATAGTTAGCGGTTCCAGAGGAGAGCTTAACTACTTGACTCAGGACTTGAGGTTGGGTTGTTCTGTCGTATATGTCCATTTTATTTTTGTGTCATTCTTTCACCTAAATTTTATTCATTTAGGCTGCTCGGATTAACCTGACCGCAATGTAAAAGATCACTCTTAATATAATTAATCAAATCTACAATTACTGGTGTGGCTCTGGTCTACTGCTGGAACATAGCTCAGAATGATTTCATTTGGCAAACAACAGAGTAGGTTATGAGAAGCCTTCTCTAAATAATATGTCATTAAACTATTCAGAAGACTTGAAATAAAATAATATTTAATACTGCAAAACTTAAAATATGATTAAAATTGACCTTCCCTCTTGTATTGGAGGAGTTGTTCGATATGATGCTCATCGCTGTATGAATCAAAATCAATAAGTACCAGATATGGGGAACTTGCATGTTATCCAGGATCGGAGAGCTCCCTATTCCTGCTCTCGTAGACATTAAAAGAGGACATTCCCAGGCAATGACGGATGCCCCATCAAAGGTAGCCAGACTGGCATTAAAGTGGTGATCTAACATCGAAAGCAGTAATTCTTATCCCATGAGTTGGCACCAATAACTGGGTTCCCGTTGGTTGGAACGATGAGATCATAATCCTCTGGCCCTATACAACTACTTATAATAAACAGTTTATTTTGGTATCACTGGCTTTCCAAGTCCAATTCATATATTTTCATATGGGAAAGATTCTAATTAAATATTCTTTTACTTTGTTTTTCTTTAATTAAAGAATGTATCACTTAGCTAATGCCATTGACATAATCTGGGGCCCTGTGATAAAAGGCTAAGAGCCACTGATTGAAAACATTGGGAGTTACAATTTTGGAGGTAGTGACATAGAGCAAGCAGTGTGCCTCTCAAAACCTAGAGGAAATGATCGTCATGAAAGAATATTAAAGTGGGAGCTGTCACTTCTCTGGAAGGTAAACCATTCAATAAAACATTAAAAATCACCTATAACGTGGACTGATGTTTTTTTCATGAGATGCTCTCTTTTACTGTTAAATTTATACTAAAGATTTATCAAATTCCGTCATTATCCAGTTTATTCCGAAAAAGCCAGGACATTGCGAGTGAGCTGGAAAAATAAAAACATTGTTTCATTTGTTATCTTTTACTTTCTCAATCCTGACTGCCAGGTGCGAAGGATACAGCTTCTATCAATGTTTGACAGAAGACTAAGATGGAGGCTCCCAGCTGCAGAATATGAATTTCAACCTTTAATAAAATTTTTTATAAATTGCAAGTACATTTTTATTAAATGTAGGGATAGTAAAGTTAAAAGTAAAGTTATAAATACTAGTTAGTGACAAATTCACTTTAAGTTTGTTACCCAATTTGTAGCCACATTCATTAAAATCCATGGTATTTGGCAATGGAAGCCATTTAATGTACCAATAGTTATCGGCTAAACCTGACAACCACAGAGGCCAAAAAAAATTGGTTTAATGTGGAGACAGTAGATGTGTAGAAATGCAATACATATTGCAATCCCATGTGAATTAATAAGAGGCTGCACTTATTATTTACAATACAATTTACTGTAGTTACTGAGCTCAACCCCTTATTAATTCATTGTTTACAGTTTTTGTTGGCTTTTAAATTTATAAGGGTTACTGCTGGGTTTTTTTAAACTTTATTTATAGTGCTACAAAAATGTTGCATACTGCAACCCCACAGGTACACTTGCCTCCCATCGTACATAGCAGTGTGTGCTTTGTAGATTGCAAACAAATGAAAGCCATGAAGATTATGAGATTTAAAAAGTATGTTGTTTACTAGCCATAAAAAAAAAAATGCACGATAAACGAAAAAGGACTTCACACTCACACAAAATGCACTTTAATGAATATCATACATGTAGTGTGATATAAGGATATACAAAGTATAATAATTCCTCTACTGAAGTAAACTCAATATGGCAACATTTTAAAAACAGAAATAACAAAATGATAATGGTGCATTATAAATGGTTGAAATATGACAACTCACAAATATGAGCCTCTCATCAGCTCAGTTAAAGCATACTTGGAGAAAGATCATTGTTTGTATCTGAAACGTGCTTATATGAGGTGATGACTGCCCTGCAATAAGTTAGTGTTTCCTATATCTTGCCCTCAGTTTCCTACTCTTTATATAAACTATATGTTACCAAGTAAAGGTTTGTTTATCTTATTTATGAAAGGGACACTATAGTCACCAGAACAACTACAGCTTATTGAATTTGTTCTGGTGAGTAGAATCAGGCTTTTTGCCGTAAACACTGTCTTTTCACAGAAAATGCAGTGTTTATATTACAACCTAGTAATAACTTCACTGGCCACTCCTCAGATAGCTGTTAGAGATCCTTCCTGGGTCATGGCTGCCTAAAATGCATCCAAACATTCAGTGTCTCCTCCCTCTGCATGCAGACACTGAACTTTCTTCATAGAGATTCATTGATTCAATTAATCTCTATGAGGAGATGCTGATTGGCCAGGGCTATGTTTGAATCATGCTGGCTCTGCCCCTGATCTGCCTCTTTGTTAGTCTCAGCCAATCCTATGGGGAAGCACTGTGATTGGATCAGGCTACAACGTCTGATGATGTCAGCAGACTGCTTGTTTTTCTGAGGCAAAACAGCATG